AAATAAGATAAGATAAAAAACAATATAATAAGTATAGTAAAAGCAAATAAAACAACAATCGAATGAAAGAAGAAGAGGAAAATCAAAGAATACTAAGAGCTTCCCAATAAACTAAAGATGAGTTCACAAATCAAAGCCTTTGGCATATAACAGGCAGTCTAGCCTTTAAAGACTCAGCAGAGTGAGAACACTTAATTGAAAGAGATAAACTGTTCCATAGCTTTGGGGAGGCTAAGGCAATTGCACGATCACACCTTAGCCTCGACCGAGGTACAGCCAGGAGCTGTTGGTCTGAGATATAAGAGATCTGGGGATGGAAAGAGGGCAAAGGAGCTCAGAGATGTACTGGGGCACCAGGACATGTAGGGTAGTTCCTCCACAGACAAAAATGTATCTTAAAGAAGCCCTCACTCCCTGTTTAAATCTTCAACAGACACTAATGGGGACATACCGCTCTTGGTGTCCTTTCCATCCAGTAAGGGTCGGTAGTCACTCTTGGAGACTGTCTCTGCCACTTTGTCATCGTAGCTCTCTTTCTCCAGCGAGGACATGAAGTCCCTCTTCAGCAGGGCCTCGGCAGGGGCCCCGCCTGGAACCCCACCTCCACCCCCACCTAGAGCATCTCGCAGGGTCAGGTCCATAGTCCTGGTACTGCAGAAAAAAATGGAGAAACAGGTGTGATTACATTCATTCTTCTTGGCTTATTGCTATTGGTTTATCTTTTTTCCCACTCCACTTCACTTCACAGGCTCACCGTACGTGTCATTGGTGTGAGACTGACCACTTCACACCTTCTTCAAACCCAATTCAGATTACTATTTCACACAATTTACAGAGAGATGGCAGGTGCAGTCTGATAATAACAATCCTCCAAGAACAAAGTAGACATCATAGACTACATCCATACTAATACGTTATAACATCAAGATGAGCGTTTTAGTTCCGTATCAGAAATAATCTGTGAAAACACATACCACATTACATTCACGCACACTGTGTGTGTGTTTTGGTGTTAAACAGGAAGAAGATTGTCTGAGAATCAGAAGCAACAATGGTGAAAATCAAGGGCAGGGATTTCTTTTCCTGAACCAATGACGGAAGTGAAACTGTTACTGTAAGTATTGACAATGCTTAGCATTTGCCGCAGGTAGTTGGGTTGAGTTGACACTGATAAAACCCAATCAGAAAGCAAACATCAGTTTTTTTGCCCCTCCAAACTAAAATCTCAACCCTGTGTTTTAAACTAAAGGTTTTAGGAGCTCAAAAACGTAGCAACAGTGATGTGTTTTGAAATGAAAACATATTAGAGTGGCTGCAGCCGTACTATACATAAAGTTTCTGTTTCCAGTGTTTCACTCTCTCTTGCGTCTGTTAATTCACTTCAGTAAAACAATGCTCTTCTGTGAAATTCATTTCTTTTCAGTATGCAAGTTACAAAAATAATCCTTATTCAATAGTAGTTAAGAGCATTTGTGAATGTAGGCTCAGAAGCAGGAGAAGTGAGATGAGAAAGGAAGGTTCAAACAAACAAAGAGATTTAAAGTGAGCATAGAGGAGTTTCCCTGCACAGCGACAATCCAACATCTCAGTGAAGCAACAACAAGCTAAAAAGCAAATACTTGGAGCAGAGGGGGGCTGTGTCTAGACTGAATCAACTTGTATAGAATGAAACTGGCTTTTTACTATCTCTGCAACAGCAAACACTTAGTCAACCTAATTTGTACTATATGTACAGTATATATGACCTAACCAATAACCTGCAGAGGCTGGGACAAATATCTGTTCTTGAGAACTGAGAAAAAGAATAATTCTATAACCTAACAGACTTTTGATACGTTTGATAAAAATGTGGAGTTGTAAAAACCCTTTTTATGATGCACTAGAGGTGAGTCTGCAACAGGAGCTGCCAGACAGATGAAAGCTGGGGGTGGAAAACGAGAGGAACCAGCAGAATGAAAAATGGCTGAGAAAGGAGGAGGACTAGAGGAAGAGAGAAAGTCCGCCTGACGAGCAGATCAGCCTCCTGACCTCCAACAGCTGCAGGTGCAATGCTTCAGCTGATCCTCTCACTGCAGAATAACAGCTAGCTTGTTGCTCAGTGACAGAGAATTTGTGTTTGAATGCCGAACGAGAATATTTGTTTCTCTTTTCAGAAGCTTGTCAAACACACAAAACAAGTAGGAGGAAAACAAGACAGAAAAATAACAGCAGAACAATAGCAGAAAGGAAGAGTAGATGGTGAAGACAAAAAAATATAAAGGTCAAAGAGGAGACAAAGATGAGTGAGGGTAAAGAATTGAATGAGAAAAAAGAGGAGAAGCCAAAAACAGCACACATACTAATACTTCTCCAATAATAACCATGTTTTTCCTTTCCTACCTTCACTCCCCACTCCTCCCTCACATCCATTCCCACAATCCAACCCTTATAACTGTTTCTTCTTGTGTACGTTTTACATATTGCAAACATGTAAACAGCTCAATACAGTTCTATTGAACTGTAGTTGAAAATAGGAGTCAATATGCCGTTCCAAAAGAGTTGGTTGGAATTTTTCATTTGAGTCAGATTATGACCTGTTTCAGGGATTAGATTAGTTTTACTACCATAAAGAAAGCACCGGGTTGACAGGGTTTACTCTGAGAAAAGTGAGGGTCAAGCCTAAAATATTATTTTTGGATCTGATTGAAATATCCTCTGATGGTAAAACCCCTGAAACAACTGTGTTCAGCACTGTTCTGGAAACAAAATAAACCTCTGGGCATCCAATGCGCTAAAACCAATTATACTATAAAATAATACAATCTTGTCCACATTTATAGATGTATGGTTTATACTGTATGCCCTTGTGTTTAAATTGAGGGAATGCCATATAATGTAGTTTCAGTCGAAGGCTAACTATTGCATATTTATCTTTAACTTCCCAGATGAAAAAATTAGGATAAGTCCTAAGAAAGAGAATCCCTGAGGGAGGAGCAAAACCAAAGTTATTTATTTTGTCACCACATCTCAGTGTACAGTACAGCTGTTTACTTCATTTTATGGCCCAGACTGAAACATACCTTTTCATTTTAGTAATAGTAAAATGTATATTCACATTTCTGCACTCCTTCCACTGAATTGATTGTTAACACATCAAATGTCTTTTTAAAATATTTCTAATTCCATTGACATTACCCAGGACCCTTTACTGCCTCAATTTACCATCTCAAACTTCTCAAATCTGCACATCATAACATTTCCTTGGGCCCTTAAAAAATACGGCCAAGAAGTATGAAGCCAATAACATGAACGGTTCTCGAGATTCTTTGGCCACATATAGACACAGACACAGTGACAGACAGACATTTCTGGAATTAGTAGATAAATATGCATGCATAGATTTACAGAAAATGCAAAGCTCCAGACTTTGTCAAAAGGACACTTATACTGTAGCCACATGAGGGTCCTTTAATGGGTTAAATGCTGCTCTGAGATCAAATATAAGGAGAGTTTTTGCTTTCACTACAGTATTGTTCTAATTAGTGTCACACACTGTTGTATACTGATGTACATGAATCTATATTTACATTTATCAGACGCAAATACCCCAGCCTTTCTGCCACAGGAGCTGTGATGGAGTGATTTCTGAAAGAGCTGCTGGGCCAAAGTGAAAAAGTAAATCTGCTCATATGTCTGATCTTGACATAATCTTAATGACTTGTCAATGACTTTCAATGAGTGTTTGTGTTTGAGTTACACTCCATTACTCCTGCCAAATGCCATAAGCACAAAACATAAACTGGTCCCATCTCATAGACAGCATGACCCCTGAACAAACTTTCCTTTCTCTCTGCGGTTTGTGTCTATCCCTCCATCCACCCTCCAAGCAAACAAGCTGTCATTGTCTTGTGACTGTACCGAACACACACACACACACACACACACACACACA